CATGACCCGGAATCCTTCACTGCCACCCCACAGCACCATAGGAGGAATCACTCTCTGTTACAAATGTGTGCAACACATATTCCTGAAGGTTATTCCCAGAAAACTGAACCCATGGAAACTTTATCATAATTGATTTCTTGACCTTTACACTTTCAAAAGAGAAAGGCCAATGAGTCACAATTATGTTACAACTCTAGACCATCTGAATTTCTTCAAATAGAACGGCTTAAGAGCTGTTTAATTCTTGGCTCTCTCTCTTATACTCAAAGTAAAAAATCTGTGTTTTTTAAGGCCTGATTTAATCTTCAAGTTATATTGGTTTCTAGATATATCATTTAGATAATCCACCATCACCATATGTACTTTGTCTAAAACCCCAGTGACTCAGGAGCCTGTTCTTACAAAAAAACAATTGGCCATCCAGTCTCCTTTCCAAATTTCCCATTCCTATTCATTGAACCATCATTCTTCCCAGTAAGAGAACTTGAGAATAACATAAATGGGAAAAATACCTTAAATGTCTATTGGTCCTACCTCCGTACTTTACAGATAAGAAGATATATAAGTTGCTCAGGGCCCACTATTAGAGCTAGAATTCCTGTCCTCTATCTAAACAAAAACAAACAAATCAACAACAACAAAAATTGAAAATAAATGAAATCTAGTTCTAATATTCTTTATACTTGTGTTCTTTGAATGATATAAAGAATAGTGGCAATCTTACCAGATGCAGTTAAATGGGATAATGGATGTGAAAATATTAACTGCAATGAAGAGGATAGATGCAGAAGAAATACTTGTCAATCAATCACTCCTTAAATCGACCATTTCTGATAACTTTAGGTCTCTATTACCTTTCCTTCTCTGACTCATCTCTTCCCACTGTCTCAACACTAAAGCCTTAACTGACTTGCAAAAGCACCTCATAACTGATCTCTCTTTCCCATTTTCCAGCCCAAATCTATCCACACACCACAGCCCTATCAATCTTTTAAAAACTCTTTCCCCTATTCAGAAACCCAAAATAGAAGTCCTATGGTTCCTGGCAAAAGAATGTTGTCCTCATCCCACGTTCATCCTAACAACCTCAGTCTGATCCCATAAACCTTTTCAAAGCATTTTCCCATGGTTCTAGTGGACACGCTCTGCTCTGGCTCCTGGGCACACTCACTCTCAGCTGCAAGGTCAAGCTCTGCCATCCCTCCTCTTCCCCGAAGTCTACACTGCTAAAGTCAGATGGACATTCTTCCCAGAACCAAAGGCACTAATTACATAAAATCTTGCAGTGTTCTCTAATTGTTTCACTCATGAATGTGGGGGTTCTGCTTCTCTGAACAGATTGTAGCTCTTTGACCAGTTTTCGATAATTCTACTTAATATCTCTTCCACAGTGCCTAAAGTATATTTTAATAAACAAAAAAAAACACAAAAGTATTCTGAATAATCCCAATTCTTATAAAAACCAGTTAGAGAAGATTTTTTCCTATAATGCCAATTCACGTGTGTAATCATTTTCCCTCAAGCAACATCCTAAATAAGGGAGAAATTTACAGGCAGAGAAAATTAACAATTCCATAGCACTTTTCTGTAGTATAAACAGGGTTACCTCTATAAATAGTCTATTGCATATATTTATCACACATGGTATATTTAAAGCAAGTTTCATTTGTCACAATGTATCAGTGATTCCTTAAATTTAAAAGCAGTCACATCCACATTGTGAAATATCTTCTTGAACTGAAGCATCCCTCTTTGCATTTGTGGATACTGAGGAGAATTCGCAGGCTCAAGATTAAAGGCAAAAGCTTCAACGGCTGCTTTTATCCAGTTCCAAAGTTGTAGAAGAGAAACTTTGTTCCTCAGACCTCACTTTTCACAATGTTAGTTTTATATTTACTATTTTTTTAAAGACTTTATTTATTTATTTGAGGGAGAGAGTGAGTGCACGCGAGAGAGAAGGAGCAGGGAGACGGGTAGAGGGAGAGGGAGAAGCCAACTTCCTCCTGAGCAGGGAACCTGACCTGGAGCTCAAAGTGGGACTTGATCCCAGGACTTCAGGATCATGACCTGAGCCAAAGGCAGACGCTTAACTGACTGAGCTACCCAGGCGCCCCATATATTTACTATTTTTAAGAGAGTGACAGTGTTAGCCACATTCCACCCATTTGGGGAGGGTCAGGTTTACACAAACACAAAATGTACTCATGGCTTTTGGTGAACAACACCCTGAAGTGATTCCTGTTTCTAGAAACTTGGCTATCATGTCTAATAACTGGACTAGTTGGTGAATTTAGGTAAAAAAATAAAATAATAATAAAAAGTCAAATAGATTGCATTGCTGAGTCAACTGGCTGATTCCAATAGGATTTGATGTCACATATAAACATAAAGCGACCATCATTAGTAGATCATCTATCACAGTGACATCATTTCCCACTGTATTTTCAATTTCACATCTCACATTGTATTTTGTGAAGTTTTGGGGAAAAAGAAAAAGTAAAAAAGTTTTGTTTACACCATGGATAAACCTCTATTTAAGTATTTATGTAACAGAAACTTGTTGCAAGTTAGACATTTTATTACGGGATCTCTTCTCTGCTAAGTTTTCCAGCAGTAACATTGAATATTATTATAGTTGTGATAGTTTTCAAAATAAGATATACTCAGGGTCCTTTTAAGTAAGGAGTGTGAATAATTAGATTAGTATCCTACATCCAACTCAACAAAAACTAATAGGGAATCTATATTTTTCTGTAGTTTAAAACAGACGTAAAAAAAGATCTTTCCCTTCAACATTAACACATTAAAAATTCAATTCACTAAGTTCTAGTGTTTTTATTCTTACAATTCCCTAGCCTATTAAGAAAGCAGTTTTGCCAGTTTCTTTTCTTTGCAATAACTTTTTACTGCAGATCTTTCTGAAGATAGTTGAAGGTTTATCTTCGACGGTGCACAAAACAGAAGACAGAACCATTTCCTTTGGTTTAAGAAATACCTACTTTGGAAACCATGAATGTCTCCTCTTTGATATGATTACATGTTGAATTTATTTCATTTTAAGTTTAATGTTTTTATAAGAGCTGAATCAATACAGTGTCTGCAAGAAAGTTGCAAACCAGTTAATATTTTTTGAATGCAGAAATTAAATAGGACTAGTTCCAAATATGTCTTTCTTAAGAGAGTGAGTTTTGCCACCCTAGCTTACAACTTTCAAAACTGTTCTAAATTCTTAGGGCTACCAATCCCATGGCATTAGAATCAAACTTCTGAAATAAAAATACACTACTTAGTTTCTCTTTGTCTGGTTAACTGTAGAGGTAAGCATTTTATTCATATGATTTAATTGCATTTCTTTTATGATATAAAGTGTGTGATAAGAGCAAACTTAGCCTCAAATGATAGCTGTGAAAAATTCAGATACTCTGTTTGCCTTTAAAGTTATGTTAATCACCATATTAATAAAGTGTTTATTTTTTAGAACTCTTTCCCCCTTCTGTTTGGCCACCTATATATCTCCAACCATAGAAGTAAATATGCCTAAAATTGGTGTTGGTCTTGATAAGTCATGGTGATGTCATCAGCCTGAGTTTCAGCTCCTGGAATGCAGAACTGTGACCACACAGTGACTTGTGAGCAGCTAGGTCCCGACATAACTCTCCTTGTCACCACATGTCACTGATTTGGAGCCCAGACTTGTACTCTAAATATACTACATCAGTTAAACACAGGTATTCTGGAATATCTGCTTTGTCAAATGCAAGGGAGAGTGGGAAGGAAAAAGGAACTAAGGTTCTGTTTTTAAATACAAGGAATTTAAATGTGGTGCACAGCAAGGTCAGTATACTTAATACCACTGAATTGCACACTTAAAAATGGTAAATTTCATGTTATATATTTAATCACCACAAAGAAAAACAATATGAGAGTGGTTCTGAAAACCATGTCCATGGGTTTCAGAAGTTTTTCACAACTGTCTAATAACGTTCCAGGTCTAATCTATAATCGCCTATAACTCTGCCACAATGACCAAGTCACTCTTTCTGCCATACTTCCTTAGTAAGCCAGACTATTTAGAACCTAAACAAATATTCATTCATCACGTATTTCTAAACAACACTTAGCCACAGAAATCTCTAGCTAAAAGTACCACAGAAGAAAATCTGGAAAGTACCAGGTAAGATTGGGTGTTACACAAGAAGCAAGTGTAAGCATCACGTGCTCCCAGGCTGTGCCCCTCTGTGAGGAGCTAGGAAGTGCGAAACCCCTACCATCCTATCTCAGGACTGGCCTTGCCGCAGCGCTGCATGTTCCGCACCAGGGCAAGCACAGCCTGTTTACAGAGTTCCCAGGCCTTGGGGTCCCTCTGACGGAATGTCGGTTCAAACACTTCCTAGAGGGTACAGCACCATTCCAAAGGGCTGAGGCAGGCTGCACGGGCAAAATGTCTCTTCACTCTCCTGCTTCCAGTCAAGAGTAAGCCTGCAAGAAAGGTTAGCCCAGCTCTGCTGGAGTAGCGCACACAACCTCATAAATTTCTAGACGGCTGTGCCTGCCTGCTGTCGCAGGTAGGGTACTTCCGCAGACTGAAAATCGCTTCAGCTTGCAAGAGGTATTGAAACTAAGGAGAAAACGCATAGCACCAGGCTACAGTTGTCTCAGCCATTCAGCTACCACTGCACCCATTAGAAACCTGTATCCCTGCCCGAGCACTGAAATGACAGCTGGGCATCCTCCTACTCTCTCCGATTAGAATGTGAGCAGCCCTGTAGTCTCCGGTTGTGCATAAACAAAACCTAACACGATGCCTGGCACTTGAAAGGTGCTCAGCACATAAATGAAGAGCTCAGCTCTGAAGCCATAATCAAGATGGGGGGGCAGAAGCCTCTCCAGTCCTCTGTGGTTGCAAACACACCCCTGCAGAAGCTGCCACATCCAGAGGTTTCGTTTGCCCGCCGCCACGCACGCCCACCCTGACCTCCGCACTCGCAGGAACTACGTACCAGCAACGGCGACCAGCAGACCGACAGCACGCACATGATCCCCATGAGTTGGATGGCCGTCTCGGTGGTGATCCGACCCCACTGGGCGCCGGACTGCGACGCCGTGGCCTTGGCCCGGCAGCGGGACACCAGGGCCTTAATGGTGGCCAGGTTACAGGCGAAGGTGACGGCCAGCGCCGAGAGCCCCAGGAAGGCAAAGGTGGAGGCGAAGAAGAGGTTGCCCCAGTTGTGCGAAGTGCTCGTCCCGTTGCCCCCTCCTCCGGTGCTAATGAAGCACCACGTCCCGGGCCACTGGATGGTGTACTGGCCTACGCCCAGCACCGGCAACAGGGCGAAGGCGAGCACCGCCAGCCACACGCCGAGCAGCACGGCGCGGGTGGCGCGCGTCTTCATGTGGCTCGCGTACCAGTGCGGCGCCCGGATGGCCAGCGCCCGCTCGACGGCCATGGCGCTGGCAATGAAGAGCGAGGAGAGCCCAAAGACAGTCATGGTCAGACCGAAGAAGGTGCACAGCCTCCCCGACGGGTCGAGGTGCTCCCAGCGCTGCTTGGACAGGTACACGACGATGACCACCGGGCTGGTGAGCAGTTGCCCGACCAGGTCTGTGAGCGCTAGCCAGCCGATGCACAGCAGGAACGACTTCTTGCGCTTGCTCTCCCGCCGCCGGTAGCTCCGAGACACGAGCAGCATGGCCAGCGCGTTGCCCACGAAGCCGGTGATCAACATGGTGATCGGGAAGGCTACCGACACCGAGCCGCAGTCCTCGAGGGGGTCCCGGGAACCGGTGAAGTTGCCCTGCGCCGCGGCGGAGCGCTCGGGCGCCCACATGCCCGGGTAGGAGTGGTTGAGGCGGGTGCAGAAAGGGGCGCTCCGGTCGCCCCGGGTCTCCTTCATGTTGGCTTCGAGGTGAGGAGAGGACGGCGCCCGGAGAGCAGCAGCGGGAGCTGGCGGACCGGGCGCGGGCGGCGGCGAAGGTCGGTGTCCACCCGGACTAGGGCTAGGGCTGGGCTGCCCTCCATGATGCGGGGCGTAGCCGCCGCCTCAGTTCTTTCCTTTGGCCGTGGCGTCTGGGCTTTTAGGCAGCCGCGCCGTCTGCTCGGGGAAGCCCGTAGCTCCGAGGCGCGCGAGGTGCGGGCCCCTTCTATAAGGCGGCGGAGGGCGGGGCGCCCGGGGGTGTGGGCACAAGTGCGCTGGGAGGAGGATGGAGAAGCAAGAGCGCGCGACTCTTGGCTGCTGCGTAACAGCTGTCCTGGCGGCCTGGCCTGGAAACTCCCAGGAGGACTCCGTGCTCCGACTCCTGGCCGGAGGGGACGCCTAGTCAGTCCTCCCTTCGCTGCGCCGCGCCTCCTCCTCTTCTTTGCCAGAGGAGCGGCCGCGGGCGGCCGGGGGTAAAATGTCTTCCTGCGCTTCCAGACCCCAGGCAAGTTGCCAAGGCCGACCTGAGCGCCCGCCCCTCTCCTTACCCACCCACCGACGTTAATGTACGGACCGGATCCTCCTCCCGAAGCTCTTTTGTAACCCTGGCAAGTGTAACTCACCTGTCCCTAAGCAATCCAGGTCGACCACACTCTGCATAGTTGAATGTGAACTTTTCTCCCTTTCTGTACTTGGGGACTCCAGAATGATCATGAGCCGACCAAGCTGCTCTGTTGCCAGGGGGCGCTCTGAAAATATAAAACTAATAGTGCCTTGCGACAAAGGGAATACGTAAAGAGAAGCAAAATCGGAGAGTGGATTCAAAGATGAAATCTCAGCTACCGCTCTCCACCTAAAATCTCCCCCCCCCCCCCCCCCCCCCCCCCCCCCCCCCCCCTGTTAAAAAATTAGCTAGGGCTAAAGTGGCTAGAGGCAGGTGTCAGCACTTGCCTGTCTGAGATAATGAAATCAACTGCCGCCCGCCAGCCTATGGGAGCTGGATGGATTGGGGTGCGGAGAGAAGCACGCTCTTCCAAAGCCTCCAACCACTCTCCAACCCTTGCCCATTCTCATACAGTTAGGACTAGAAACTGCAGTTAGATGTTAGGAAAGTCTTCACATTTAGTGAAAATGGGCCTAATTGTCTAGTAACATCTTTTACTAAACCAATATTTAGTGTGTTTTCACAAGCAGTTTTCCGTTTGATCAGAGATCTTCCAAGGTCCTGTTGCTATTATTACCCTCTTTGACGATGAGATACTGAGGCTCCATGAAGTTAAAGGCTATGCGCAAGGTCTTCCAGCAATTCTCCAGCCTCCATCTTTACGGTGTCGTTTGCGTGGATACCATAACCACTCTTAGCAGATGAAGACCAATAGTAACATTGTTCCCACATTTTGGAAGGGTCTGGTTTTTCTGCCTCTTCACGTTGTCCAGGAGATGAAAAGATTTTAAAATATTTGTAAATTTCATTTTTTCCTCATATTTAAGAAATTAAACCGGATCATATAGCTGTATGAATACCATTACTCAGACTTCCGATTGACTTCTGGAGCAAGCCCCCTTAGTTCCTTTGCCTTTCCTAGCTTAGTTGTTATCTTTTTTGGCTGTAAATGAATGATAGGTGATGAGAATGGAGTATATTCTCACATTCTTTCTGTGCTGTTGTATTGATTCTGTATGAGAGCTTGAAAAATATTATAGGATTTATATAGTTTTAATTTTTTTAATATTTTATTTATTTTTGCGAGAGTGCAAGAGAGACAGAACACGAGCAGTGGGGGAAGGGGGTAGGAGCAGAGAGAGAAGCAGAAGCAGACTTCCCGCTGAGCAAGGATTCTGATGCTGGACTTGATTCGTGGACCTTGGGATCATGACCCGAGCTGAAGGCAGACGCTTAAGGGACTGAGCCAACCAGGCACCCGGATTTATATAGTTTTTATTTTTTTAAGATTTTTTTATTTATTCATTTGAGACACAGAGATACAGAGAGAGAGAGAGCATGAGGAGGGGGAGAGGCAGAGGGAGAGGGAGAAGCAGGCTCCCTGCTGAGCCAGGAGCCCGATGCCGGGCTGGATCCCAGGACCCCGGGATCATGACCTGAGCTGAAGGCAGATGCTTAACCATCTGAGCCACCCAGGCGCCCCGAATTTATATAGTTTTTAAAGGAGAAAAGCAAAAATGTAATTTAAACTTCATTTTAACAACATGCATTAATGACATTATTATTCATTTTGTGTTTTGATGTCATTTAAAAATTTTTACACTTTTGAATTTTCCTTAATTTTTTTAAACATTATTTATTTATTTATTTATTTGTCAGAGAGAGACAGAGCACACACAAGCAGCGGGAGAGGCAGGCTGAGGGAGAAGCAAGCTTCCTGCTGAGCAAGGACCATGCTCCTTGCTCCGCAGGACTCGATCCCAGGATTTTGGGATCATGACCAGAGCCAAAGGCAGATGCTTAACTGACTGAACCACCCAGGCGTCCCATGAATTTTCTCTTTTAAAATATTTCTAATGAGAACAAGAGCTAGGAAGGAATAGTAAAGTGGTTTACTTTTTAAATCTTCCCCAAACTTTTGTCTAATTCAAATTAATCTGAAACCCATAATTGTGAAAGTTTTTTCTAAAATGTCATTTTAAAAATAAAATCATAATTGATGTTATTATTAGATATATACTTTATCTAAAGCATTTGGATGAAAATACATATCAAATTTAATTTTTCAGCAGTGAGTCTCTAGTGTAATTATATATTTAAAGACAAGACATTTTCATGACTCATACAGCAAAGAAAGTGAAGTTGATGTTTCCCAGTTACATCAAAAATTATTCTCATCTTTATGAATATTTGACTTGAAATTTTACTTTCCCAATTGCAGTGCATGTTGTAGCTAACTGGACTTTGTAAGAGTAACAAGCATCTCATAGTATGGAAGAGTTAATGTTAGACTCTTTTTCAACACCATACCAAAGCTCTAAATGTGTTGCATTTCAGATCTTTTTTTTTAAAGATTTTATTTATTTATTCATGAGAGACACACAGAGAGAGAGAGAGAGAGAGGCAGAGGGAGAAGCAGGCTCCCAAGGAGCAGGGAGTCCGATGCGGGACCCGATCCCAGGATCCTGGGATCATGACCTGAGCGGAAGGCAGACACTCAACCATCTGAGCCACCCAGGTGCCCTCAGATCTTTTGTGTAACACTTCCCTCCTTTCAGCGATTTGCTTCATCTTAGAATTCTAAGTTGTCTGCTTTGTAGTTATTTACCTTATAAACTACTGATTTAGAGACTCTGAGGAGTCACAGAATAGGATGCTGCCTGTTGGATTCTGGTTGGCACCTTTTGGTGTCAAAGCGGAGTCTGAATTGTGTTGGTCTGAAACACCAGCACCCCCTAGTGACCAACCTAATAACATCCTGTATGCCCTAACAAAGAGACTTTCTAAACGACGGGTATTTGCTTTGCTTAAGGAACCTCTGATACCTTTCTTAGAGATTTACTCAATAATACATAATTATGGTCATTTTATTTTCCTTTGAGGGCACAAACTGTCATATCTTCTTAATCAATAGACCAGTGGAGTATTAAAGTTAGAGTCAGCTCATTGAAAGACCACATATTCAAATATGTTTTTTAAAAATTTCAGTATATATTCACCCATTATCTATTTTTAAATTAAATCCTTCTCTAGAAATGATTTTAATCTACAGATTTATTGTTTCCCCCATATCTTACATTTTTTAAAAATTCACAACATATATCAATATTTAGCTAGTATTGATTAATTTATTTGGGCTGCTTCTACTGAACTTGTATTAAGAAATCTTAAAATAGACACGGTTACAAAAACAAGATTAATAAACGGGCCCTTGATTACCTTATCATGGATGGAAAATATCTGCATTTCTTATTCCATAGATCCAACTGCTAATTTCAGCATGTTTTTTAGTCATTCATTCATTCAAAAAATATTTATTGGGCACCTATTCCATGTCAGACACTGTACTAGTTGTTAGGGATATAAAAGAAATACATAGAAGTCTACATTTATGGAGTTTATATTTTAGGACAAAATTCTTGGTTTTTAAAATCTGAAATAACAGAAGAAAGGAGTGCTAATTTCAGTGGTTTTTGTGATTTGCCATGGAGGTAAGATCTTATATAAAATCCAATTAAAAAATTTATGTACAATTTTCATGAAAAACTGGAAAAATATGTACAGTTTTCATGATCAAATGAGATTTATCTCAGGAACCCAAGGTAGATTTAAACACTCAAACATCAATCAATATAATTGTTATTTTAACAAAATAAAGGAAATCCTTGAAGTCTTTGCTAAATCAAACATCTGGTACACTGAGTCCCTTTGTATTGATTGCATTTTCTTCAAACTTCTCTTCCCTGTTTCTTTATATTCCTAGTAGTCTTAGTTGAAGACTGCACACTGTAGTTAATATACTGTAGTGACTGCAGATTCTGTTGTTTTCTTATGAGGATTATTGATTTGGTCTGGGGCGGGAGGTGCGGGGGGAGGGGTGTAGAGGAGGAGGGCAGATGGTGCAGTCATCCATCAGGTGGTTAACTTGCCTGAATTTAGATTGCCAACATTTCCTCTCTTGTGGTATAAAGTTGCTTCTATCTCTGCTGTGTTCTCATAGTTTCTCATGGCTGGTCTGTGGGATGATCTACCCTATACTACATAATTTGTTGGTCACATAATTTGTTGGTCAGTTAGTGATGGGGACCACCCTCTTTGTGTTTTTCCTGACTTACAGTGATTCTCCTCTAATTTCCAGCTTCTCTGCCAGCCTTGGGTTGTGCTCTGACATTTCAAGCTTGTAAAGCTTCAACTTTTTGCCACCTAAGGTGCATATGATGGGGAATAAACTCATTTAAGAAAAGCATCAAAGTCATGGACATAGCCTTGAGTAGTTTTCTCTCTCTTTTTTTAAAATTTTTAAAAGATTTTATTTATTTTGACAGAGAGAGAGAGAGAGAGAGAGAGTGAGAAAGGGAACACAAGCAGGGGGAGTGGGAGATGGAGAAGCAGGCTTCCCGCCGAGCAGGGAGCCCGATGCGGGGCTTGATCCCAGAACCCTGGGATCATGACCTGAGCCAAAGGCAGACACTTAACGACTGGGCCA